GCTTCTCAGCTGCAGCAGTGGAAAACAGCCACACTCACAACATGCCTAGTGCCTAGGACAGCGCGTTTTATTCATTTGTAGTAACAGGCAGCTGCGATTACTGCAGGACAGGTGCTGTTTTTAAGCTCTCTGTGATGTGAACTCATTGACTCTCCTCAAATACCCATGTCAAATAAAGTCTAAAACTCTCCCCATTTTACAGATGGGAAAAAGAAGGCATAGAGAGGTCAAAGGGGTTAAGTAAATTGCTCTAGTAAATGAGGAATGGGAATAAATTGTAACATTCTGGCCACAGTCTGTGCTACCCTAGAAAAACAACTTCTTCTTCTGTCTCTGTCTCAGTAGTGCGTCAGATTGAACTCGAGGCCATATGCATACTAGGCTGAGCTACACCTCAGCCATCTTAATACATTTTATATCTTTTGGTATCACATAGCTTCTTTGGTGCTTTACCATTCCATTACAGGTTGAATCTCTCGAATCCAAGTCTTGATAACATAATGTTGATTTAAAAAAAAAATTATCAGGGGCTGGGGGGTTAGCTCAGCGTCGAAAGTACCTGCTTGGCAAATGCTAAGTCGTGAGTTCAATCCCTGGTACCAAAAAAAAAAAAAAAAAAAAAAAAAATTGTCAAGGTGATGGTGTAGGAAAGTTGGTATTCTGATTTCACAGTATTGTGTCCCATTCATAAATAACTACTTCTGGGTTCTTCATCATTTGGTCTCAAATTGTTACTCATTTTCAGTTGAATTTCATGTACTTTGTTGCCAGCAGATCAGAGACTTGGAGCACAAATAAGAGAAACAAGCTTTCCATCATTCACTCCTACAACAGCCACTGAGTGACAGCGATGTTGGCAATGTTGAGTGCCTAGGGAGTGGAGGGCAGGCTGGCAGGGTCTTGGCAGGAAATTGAGATTTGTTTGCAAACTGTCAGGGCAGATAGCCTTTCCAGGCCCCTCAAGGTTTCCAGAGTGGTGTACCTATCATTGGACCTAAGCACAGAGGTGGGACAGACAGGCCATGGAGAGAGGCAAGGGCCCAAATGTGAGTGCAAAGCTCAGCCTCCTCTTCTCCAGTTTTCTAAAGCCCCAAGAAGAGGGTTGGCTGCTGAGGCCCTGCTGATGCCCAGACCTGGCATGGAGCTACTGGAAAGTGGTATCCCCCAAAACATACTTTTTGATCCCTGCTCAGCAGCACATGCATCATGTGCCCTGCGATGTCGGGAGTCCTTCTTATATTTCCTGCAATATTATATACTGAACATTCTCTGGTCTTAGACAGCTTGATGAGTTTTTTCTGTGTGATTGCCTAGTAAATATAGTTTATCTTCTTTCTTTCTCTCTTTTTCTTTCTTTCTTCTTTTTCCTGTGCCCCAGTAAAACCCCTCTGGTTTCTTTCTTTGCCTAGACCTCTCCTGATCCAATGACCATTATTTAGATTGCTATTATCAGAGATTAGTTTTGCCTTCTTCTGAACTTTCTATGAATAGAACATACAGTGTATACTATTTTTATACCTAACTTGTTATCCTGCATACTATATGCCAGATTAATCCATGGTGTTACATGTATTAGAAGTTCATTCTTGTCGTGGTTGATACACTGTATCAACTTGAGAAGTTCAGAAGTTTAACCACTCAGCAGGGACCCAGGATCCTTACTTTGTAAATATCCTCATGCTGTGAAAGACCAGGGCACAGGGATTTTGTCAGTGCTACATCTGCAGGATTGGGGGTGGCGTGGGGAGGTGTCCTGCATACAATATAAGGGAGGAAAAGAGGCTTGTTCTTCTCCCCTTTCGTCCTGGCTGCTTTGGCTGGCTGCTGCCTTGTAGTGTTAGCCTGGGTGCCAAACCACCCTGCCAACTGATTATGGACTGAAACCTCCACAGTGAGGTAAATAAAACTTTGCTTCTTTCATTTTAGGTTTCAGTTATTTTTATCCCAGCAACCAGAGAAAGGTAACTGATAGAATTGTGGCTCAGCTGAAAAGATAAGTATGAAATATAAATGACTTTATTTTAAGAATTCGGGGAGAGACCCGCCCTGACCCTCTGGGGTCTGGCATCTCCCCAGGGTCCGAGATCTCTCCATCGGACATGTGGAGTGGGGGCATACATGTAGCTTAGGTTTGGGGTGGAGCCTGAGGGGCATTAGGGATGTGCAGGTATCTCATCGGTATTCATTTTGCGCCAGACGCAAATTCCTAGGGATGGGGAAGACAGAGCTCCTTGGTTCCGCCTGAGGCTCTACCGGCTACAGTGTCCCGTCTGGGCCATAATCCTTTCAGTAACCAACAGTTCTTTGATACAAAAATAAACACAGTATAATTGTCCTTCACCAGAAGAAATGAGGACCAACAACCCTGTGGATACCAAAATCCACGGATATTCAAGTCCCTTATATACAGTGAGGCAGTATTTGCATATAACCTATCCACATCCTCCCTTATATTTGAAGCCATCTCTAGTGACTTACAGTACCTAATGCAGTATCACTGTGTAAATAGTTGCTGTACTGTATTTTTTAGGGATTAGTAAGAAAAATTCCATAATGTTCAGCACACATACATTTTTTACTAATTTGAAATTGGTTGAAATGTTTTCAATCTGATGTTGGCTGAAAGCTTAGATACAGAACCTGTGGATACAAATGGCCAGCTGGATTCCACTGGATGAATAGGTTACAATTTGCTGACCCATTGTCTTGTTGATGGATACTAGGCTATTCAGTTGAGCTATGAATTAATCTCCTATGAACATTCTCACATAATCTTTATGTAGATTTAGGAGCTCATTTCTCTTGGGTAAATACTCAGGAGGAGTGGAAATTTTAAACCCTAGCATAAAGGTATGCTTAAATTTAGTAGATACTGTGATTTCTAAAAAGGATGCACAACTTTCTCTGCCATCAACAGTGTGTAAGAAATTTAGTTGCTCCTCATCCTTCCAGTGCTTAACCCTCTCTTTTTCTAAACATGTTTCCACTAAAGCTTCTCTTTCCCTCCCATGTTGAAACTGGCTAGGCCTGGCATGGGTGCATTAGGCCCTCAGTGCAGCGATGGCAAACCATTTAATGATATCAACAGTCCCCTGTGGCAGGTATGCCATAGGTTCGCTACCCCTGCCAGCAGCAGAATGGTGAGCAGCTACACTCAGGCCTCTTTGAGTGTCAGCTAGAGAAGGAATGGGCATCTCTTTGACTTGGATGTGACTCCAGGAAGTAGGGTGACCATCTTGTGACCATCAGCATGAAACCAACAAAAAGACAACAGAGTGATGGAATGAACCTGGGCTTCTGATGACAGTACCAAGCCACTCTGCTTGCCTCTGAGTGGCAGACTACTTATTTTTTAAGCCACATAACTTTTTTTAAACTTGCAGCATAAAGAGCACAGTCTACAAATCCTCCTCTGCACAAACACAAGGTATCATTTCTACCCTTCACAGCACCTAACCCTACTTAGTACTCCTTTCTTCTTGAAACCTCTGTCTGGGATCCCATGCTCACCTCATCCTGATTTTCAGTCTCCTCTCCTGATTCCTCCTCCAGTGTCCATTTTTCTATCTACCTTCTCTCCTTTGGAACCTCCAAGGACTGTGATGTATCATCCTTTCTGTGCTCCAGGATCACAGAAAACTGCTATTCACCCTCATATCATACTCACGTTGCCCAGGCATCTCAAACTCAATTTTTCAAAGCCAAACTTTAGATCTTCTCCCTCATTCTGTTCTTCTGCAGGTTAACCAAGGATTTCCAACCCTTCACTGAGTGAAGACTTAAAAGCCAAGTGTTACTTCAATACCTCGCCACCCACCCACATCCACTCGTACATCCTCTCTTCCAGCTCTGGAGCCACCACTCAGTCTGAGTCACTGTTACTTTGTGCCTGGAAAGCTTCAGCAGCCTCCTACTGGTCTCCTAACACCCACTCCCCCGTGCCTTCTAAGCCATGCAGCATGAATGACCTTTCAGAAATCCAAATTTGGTATCATTCCCCTGATGAAAATGGCTTCCTTTTCAAGACAAAATGCAAATTCATTATGAGATGTTACCTACCCTATTCCTTGCTCTCCTGTCATCCTCTCTTTTCTTCTCACCTCCACATCTGGGATAAGTTGCCCCTTCTGTCTAGGACAGTTTTCCCTCACTTCTGCTATATAAAACTCTTAATTGTCCTTTCTTGCATAGCCTGATTGCTGTTTTCTCAAGAAAGCTCCTCCACCATTCAACCCAATCTAGGACCTCATAATTGTCTCACAACACTCTTTACCCTCCCTCACAGCACCACTTACCAACATGCATAATTAAATATTGACTTATTATAATTAACACATATAGTGATTATTTGATGCTTGTCTTTCCTCTCCCCACCCTATCAGAGCCTGGAGATCAAGAGCAAACAAGATCTTAACTCACTCCACTTTCCCGCCTTCAGCATTGTGCCTGAACATAGTAGGCGCTCAAGGAACGTACCTAATTAGCTCGTAAATGAAGGCACTGACTCATCCAGCGCCCATAACAACTCATCAGACACAGGGAAGTTGGGAGAGTCGGGATTGGTAACTGACTTGCTTGCCCACGGTCCAGGGCGAGGAACAGGTCCCACGTTATAAGCCTGTATCCTTCCTCATGATGAAAAGGCCCAGGGAGGAGGCGGACACTGTGCCAAGAAAGTGTCCTTGAAGTACATGGATCCGTGAGTAAGCTGGCCAAAGGGAAGAGGGGTTTACACCCTAGGGACTAAGCTTCGCTCTGCTCTCAAAGAGTACAGATCATAATCTGCTGCATATGCATGAGGGGACCATAGGGTCCGTGGTTCGGGCTGGCCAGAAAGCGCCTGATTAAAAAGTCTTCGGGTTTAATGACATAGACGCCACATAATTTCGTAAATATACACAGAAAACTTTTAAAGGGTCTTCTGTGACAGAAAGTGAGGGTAAACCCAGAGAAAATGACACACTTTTGTGCTATATGATCAGGCATTCGCTGTAGATAGCCCAGCCCTACGAGGGGGACCTCTGCCGGCTCCACTGGAAGACGAAGGGGGCGTCTCCTCAGCTTCTGCGGCGTCTGTGGCTCGCTGAGGTGGAGGCAAGCTGTGGCAGCGACGGCGGCAGGGGCGGCGGCGCCATGGCGGGGCTCTCAGGTACCGTGGCGTCAGCTTGCTAAGGGCGTGATAAGAGGCCCTCGGTGCGGCCGCGCCGCCATGTTGTCCCTACGGGGTCATCTTAGGCGTCGCTGGGTCTTTCACTGGAATTTTTTTTCCGCTCACCCGGGGGTTGGAGTACCCCTATTTGGCGTCAGGTGATTCCCCTGCTTCGCTCCAGCCTAGGCCTTGGGGGCTCTTGCTTGGCCTCACGGGTGGGACCCGAATCCTGGGTTCTCGTTCTGACCTCCAAGGTCAGCGCACTCCCAGGATGGGGCAGGCGGAGCGCGGGCCTGGGGGCGGGGAGGCGAAGAGCGTCACTTTCCCCTCTTCTGCCCGGCTCCTGGCAGGGGCCCAGCTTGGAATAGGCCTATCGCTCTTGCCGCGCCACTTCGGTTACGTTTTTTTAAAAATCAGATGGGATTTAGGGGGAGAAAGAAGCAAAGGGCTCCAGTGTCGTTGACGCTGTGCTTCAGGTCGCGGGCGCTAATCACTGTCACTAACTTTGTATTAAGTGTGATACCTGTTCCCTTTCCTCCAATATTTGGTGAGTGGCTCTCAAGGGCGGCTGAAGGAACGAACAGAATGCCTGGAAAGGAAGAATGGGGGATGGGGACAGTTGCTTTTTTTTCCTCCTCCCAAACCTTTTTCAGTTTCCTCCCAGGCCCCCATGTTCCTTTTCAACAATTAATGTTAGGAAACTGGGATCTGTCCTGGGAAAGAAACGGCCTTTTTTGTTAATTGATTTGGATCGGCTTTTATCCCTTTCTGTGAACCGGCATGTTGGGGAGAGCGGCTCTGCCCTGTCTGACATGGTCCAGCCTCCAGACCTTCTGGAGGGCAACACCAAAGCCAGGACCAAAAAAAAAAAGTTCTCATTTAAGTGTTAATACCTAGTGTTAGATCTTGTTTGTTTATTTTAAATCAGAGATTAATATCAAGCAAATCATTTAAAAGATTTGTTTGCTAGACGCTTGCTTGATCATTTTCCAGTGATCAGATCAATTCTGTATCCAAAACTGGTTATCTTAGAGTTGATGCCAAGAGTTTAACCTTTTCTCTGTAATAGGTTATTTCACAGAGGAATCTGGGTTAGGCTGTCTTTTGTTGTCGTTGTTCTATCTTTGAAACACACGCATTCCATTTCTAGCCTGTCACTGTGTGATACACTAGAGCCACGTGTTACCAGCCTTTCTCACTTCCTGCTCTGGGAATACTCAGGAATCTGGATCCTGCTGGAGTATGGGCCCTGTGGGAGGGGAAGAAGGGAGAATAAAGGGAATCATTCCCAGTGAGAATGGTGACAAGATATGAAGGAAGTGAGAGATACTCCCTGGAAAAAGAAACTCTTAGACAAATGAATGTGTGCATGTCCATATGTGCACAAGTTTGTATCTTCTAGGGGAAATTAACTGTAAATTCAGAATCTCTCTTTGGAGTAGTGCTCCATAGAAGATGTAAAGTTGAAAATAGATATGGAGTAAATGGCTCACAGCAAACCTGCTCTCCTGTGCAGCCTGTGTGTACTAAGCTGTTGCTGGCTCTATAGCTGAACCTCAAGAAACTTGTCCTGGCTCTGATTCCAGAACAGATTACCTGTCCCTTTAATCATAGTTCATACACTCCACAGAGGTAACTGTCACATAGCACCCCACACCTCTTAAAACTTGTGGTACCAAATTCTGCACCCCCTAGATTTAATGTCAGCTAGTTAGGCATTAGTCCCAAGGGTCTGACCTGTTGCTGGAGTCCCAACAAAGTCATTCCATTCTCCTCATTTTCTCTCTCATTGACCTTGTTGGGGGTGGGATGAGGCAATGGTTTAGGGAAAGGGGATGTTTAGCTCTGTGTACTAAGGCTTTGCAATAAAAGAAAGCATCCTATTCTCTGTGAGAATAAAATGTTTCAATGGTATAGCTTTTGGGAAAAACAGTTTATAATCAAGATGTACTGTATTTGGATCAGACTTTTTACCATTATCCATCATGGGGATAGAAAGTGAACACATTCCTTCTGTCTCCTCTGATGGGTTAAGTATTGCTGCCAAAACAGGAGGTTTGGAGGCTAGGGAATGAAAGTGGAAGTACACAAGCTCACTTGTTCATGGCATGCAGGCCATCAAGTAGCCCTTGCCTCTTGTAAATCTGTCATCTCTCCATGCCACATGCAGAGCCCTGCTGTTCGATGATTGGAGGAAAGGGGCTTTGCCAGGATCAAGAAAGTCCCGGGGTGGGGGTACCAGCAGCTTCCTGCCTTTTTAGTGGGTGAGGAGCATTAGAGGTGCTCTGTCTACAGCAGCCAGACCTATGCTATTTTGGCCTTCATCCATAAAGTACTTCATCCACTTTCTTTCTCTTTTTTTGTCTTTTTGTTTTTTATCGGTACCAGGGATCGAACTCATGACTGCCTGCTTGCAAGGCAGGTGCTTATGCCGCTGAGCTAAATCCCCAGTCCCTCATCCACTTTCTAACTGAGCTAAGGTTAGTGGGACTATAGGCACACCCCTGGAAGGCTCTGAGGGAATGACAGCCTTCATTAAGGACATACATTGAAATATATGCATGGTTTTGAAGTTTTAGTGTTGAAAACTACAGAAACTTCAGCCTGGAGGCCTGTCCAAAATATGGGCTTCAGGTGAAAAGAGGTGTGGATGTTGCTAGCTGCTGAGTTCACTCGAGCAGGAAGAGGCCTGTCTCACCTTTTGGCTGTAGTAGTAGCTATGACCACCACAATAAGGAAGATAGAGTCTCAGATTGTACATCCCACCAAGTCCTGATGGCTCTTGATTGCTTGTTTGGTAGAATGTTTCTAGCATCTGGAGGGTTCAGCAGAATTTTAGAAAAAAACTAAAGGTAAGGGGTGGGAGGTGACCTGGCTGGGTTACCTAAATTGCTTTGATTGATGGCAAAACCATGACCAAACCAAAATCTGCACCCCTTACCTCATAATTCTGGTGGTGAGGAAAGTTGTGGGTGTCTTTAGAGGTGCTGCTGATTAGGCAGAGAAATTTAAGGCTCTTACATAGGGAGGTAAATTCAGGTTCAAAGGGGTGAGTTCCATTGTACTACAGTGTGACAACTGTGATTAAGGGATTTGAGGAAGTGGCAGGAAATGATTTATGACCTTCCAACTCCCTTCCTTCATGTTGACCCAGGAACAAGTCTACAGTGACAGGGACGTATAAAGCCAGAGATGAGGCTGAACAGGTGGCAGGAATCCTTAGCTGACCCTCTATAAAAAGAGCTCTGGCTCACTGAAGAGGGGAACAACAGCCCTGACTTGATGACAGGGGAGATCCCAGGGACAGGGACCTGGTAAGTACACCCTTAAGAACAGGGAGGCTAGTGCTAAGAAAAGCAGGAAACCAGCAGAGGGGAGAATAAGTAGGAGGAGGTTTCGGTGCTGAGACCCTAGAAAGTAGCAAGACCAGACAGGGTGGCCTAGAGGTAGTCCTGGTGGTTACAGGGCCCAGAGCATTAAGCTGGGTGCAGATGGTGCTATGCACACCTGTTATCCTATGTTCATTGTCCAAACCAGTGTCCACCCTATCCAAGGCTCATTTCTTTGGGATTCCTAAGTGGAGACCTGAATTACAGGGAAGAGAAAGTGGTCCCTTAATTCTGAGATGGAAAGTGAAGATGTTACCTTTCTTCTTTGAGGAGGGGAAAGAAAGTCTTTTATGTCAGGATAGTGTTGAAATGGAGCTAGGTGTGTGATAGTTCCAGTTTATTCCCATTTTTGTTTCCCCTCTTCCTCTCCCAAGCACTCTGCAGTTACTGCATCATCTCATTCTTAGAACTGTGTCATGAACACAAAAGAAGCCCCAGACACAACTTTTTGGTGTGCCTTCACCACCTTGCAGGTTCCTAGGACACTGCAAGGCAGGAGAGGTACTGATTTTTATTTTTGTAGAGGCGGTCCCTGTCCTCCAGGAGCTTACAATCTAGCTGGGAGGGGGGCACAGCTAACACACACTTAAACAATTAGCAATTACCACAATATTGACCACAACTGCATGAGACCAAGGGAAGCAAGATCAGTGAGGGGTAGGGTGTTTTAGTAAAGACGGGATTAATTTACTGGTTGAATAGGTCCCAATCAAATGACACAATTTTTAGGGGTTGGGATGGGCTGGTGGGGCAGTTAGGAGAAAGGGGGAATCAAGGGAGCAGAGGCAGCAAGGCTGGAATAAACATATGATGCAGGCAAGGAACAGTGAGGGGACCCCACTGTTCCTTAACTCTTTTCCTCCCTTGTCCATGCCCTCCAATCCCTCCCCACGGGAAATGGAGTTGGCGCCTTCTCTGCTGCACTGAGATCCAGGGCTTCAGCTGGTGGTGTTGAAATGTTTATTCTGCTGGTTGGTGTGTTTCGATCTCTTATCGTGGGGCCTGCTGGCATGGCCATGACTTCAGGGCTAGGATGGTACTGTCCCAGGTTGGTCCAGATCAGAATGTGATGCCTGTGCCCAAATCTCCAGGACCTACTCCCCAAACCCCTTCCCTTCCTGACCCGCCTGACAAGGGGACCTTCGCAAAGGGGTTAGAAAAGAATCTGATATCTTCATCATTGTCGGTGCTGCTTCTTAGGGGGCCTACCGGCCCCTCACTGACCTTGGCAAGTGCTTCTCTGGCGAGGGAACACAGGGGACCCCCCCATTCCTGTGCGGCATTTGCTCCCTTGCTGGCTGAGATGCACAGGAGCACCTGATGATAGGGCCGCCCAGGGCTGGGAGCTGGGGCCTCAGTTGGGGGCTCGCTGCCTGCGCTCCCCCAGCACCTTTCGACCGGTCCGGGACACCGTATATGCCAGCTTCTGCAGGGAGTATCTGAACACCTGCAGTGAGAGACCCACCCTCAGTGGAGTGCAACAGCAGAGAGGCTGTGGCGATGCCGTGCCCACCCACCCCAATCCACCCCCAGCACCCCCTGCCCCACCCTCCTGTCCAGCATGGGCCAGAGAGGCAGGTGTGGGTGCAGCTTGTCCACGAGTCAGGGCAGCTGGAGCTTTTCCAACTGTGCTGAGAGCTGCATGGCAGTAAGCTGATTGGACCCACAACTTAGGTATACCTCACTTCTGGCAATGGGCTGTGTCCCTGGAGGATTTCGAAAAGCGAATCCTACCCAGTAAATGCAGCATTCCAGGAACACCTTGAAGGAAATACGCGATTCCTTTGGCAAAGGATTCTTTTAGCAGGCAATTCTTCCTGCAAAGGGAGCTTTTAGAGTAGATTATTTTATGGGCAAAAAAAGCACTTTTGCCTTTAAAAAAAAAAATAAAACATTTTGATCTTTTTTGGAAGAACTTTTCCCCCTTCCATTTTTCCTGCGAGGGGCTTTTTCCTCTAATTGTTTTATTCAAAGTGTTTTGTCCAATTAATTTTTTCTGTTATCGCCTTTGTCTGTTTTCCTGCAATGCGCTTTTTGTCTAATGCATTTTTTCTACCAACTGCTTTTATTTCATTTCTTTTGCCTGCAATGCATGGTTTTTGGGGTTTTGTTTGTTTTGTCTGATTTTTTTTTCCCGGTTATGTTTCTGTTTGTTCAAGTGTTGTTCTGTGCAGTTTTGTGTTTTTTTTGATAAGTGCCTTTTTCAAATTTGAGAAGTGCATTTTTCGTCTCACGCCTGCAAGCGCTATGTGATTGTGTGTATACACATCTGTGTGTATTTTTTAAAAAAAATTAACCTGCAATGCGCAATTTTTTAAGGCGGAATTTTTTGCTAAACGAACTGTAAAGTCTTAAAACACACGTGTCCCGCCTCCCTCCTGAAGTTGAGTCTGGGTGTAGCGATTTTTCTTACCACATAGGTCGCTAAAAGCCTCTCCGATCATCTGTGGCGACCGCCGCGCCCCGAGTCTTTGTTCCCGCCCGGCGCGGGCACACTGGGGAGGGTTTGCATGAGGATATGGGCGCAGGGAACCAGCGAGGGGCGTGCCGCAGCGGCACTTGGGCAGATAGGGATCGCGGCAATAGGAATAGGATGGATCTAGGAGGCGGCAGTCGCGACGCGGATTTGCAAGTTTAGGGTGCGCGCTTCGGGAGTCCTCCCACCCGAGCCTCAGTACACTTACCTGCAGCAGCACACGAAAGATGTACCAGCCGATAATGAGCAGTTCAGCCGAGGCTGCCGCCACTGCCGCCATGGTACCAAGAGTGGTGGATGGGTGGTCGAGAGCAAGGGTTCTTGCCGAGGTCCGGAGTCTGCTGTTGGGCGCGCTGCTGCAGCCGCGGTTGCCGCGCCTTAAGTATCTGCCTGCCGCCTAAGTGCGCATGCGCGCTTGGAGTGGTAGTTCCGAGGAGGGGTGACCAGTGGCGCTCTGCATTCGCTAGGGGAAGAGAGAAAAAAATGCATCTGCTCTTTGCACACCGACCCCTGCTCCTGAGTCCCATCTTAGACCCTTTGCAGAAGATTCCACCGTATCCGCTTTCGAATTTCAGTATAAAATGGAGGGGCGCTATTACTGCATAGAACACATGGTAGGAGGTGCAAGCTTCTAAGTGCAGTGCCCTTCTTTTCAAGTCTTAATCTGGAAATTTGAGCTCAGTCCCCCGCCAGAATGGACCTCTCATGCTATAGAAAATCGATGGTAGGGAGGGGTCATCTGCCTTGTAAAACAAAAAAGGTGGCCCTTCCAAGAGGCTTGGCTTTATAGGACACTACTCAACACTCTTTCTGATAGCCAGTGAGTTTTAAACCCATGCCTTCTGCTTCGTGAGGTTCCCTTAAGAGTGCAGCTCCTAGGGGCTGGGGATTTAGCTCAGTGGCATAAGCACCTGCCTTGCAAGCAGGCGGTCCTGAGTTCGATCCCCCGGCACCGATTAAAAAAAAAAAAAAAAAAAAAAAAAAAGAGTGCAGCTCTTCACAGCTCACCTCTTTATAGCAGTGAGAATTGGGGTCTGTTGTGGCAGTAGGGAACTAGAATAGGGTGCTGCACTCTGGGTGCAAAAGCAGTAGTGTCTGTTCAGTGGGAGGGGTGTGGGGAGAATTGCACCTTTGTGTGTGCGGAAAAAGAATGAACTGTAAGAGTGGTTGGCAAATCCAAATGTGTTTGCAGATATTTTTCCTCCGGATGAATTGTTTGAACTTTCGGTCTTCCACTCCCCTCCCCCAGACCTGGGTAGATCAATCTCAGCCATATGGTTCTTTGTACCTCTTTCACTAAGCATCTGTAGCAAGATGCAGGGGTTTTGCTGTGACTGCTAACAGGTGTGACTGTCATAGCCCTATTTCAAGGGGAATCAAATACCTCTGAGTACCTGTCTTTTGCATTCCCCGTGGAGCATAGATTTTATGGGTCCCTCAGAGTTCGGATGTCTTGTGGGTCCATTGAGAAGCTGGGCTTTGTGGGCTGGAGCCCAAAACAGAGCCTTCAAAGCACTTCTCTTCAGCAACCTGCCTGGCATAGGGACCAACTGACATTTGCCCCTTTGTGGATAGGAAACTAGTTTTAATTAAAAGCTTATAGAGGTCAGGTTATATACAGTGGCAACAGCAGCTGGAGGTGTAATGATCCAGTTTAGTTTGGACAAAGCACAGTAATTTTTCTGCCTACACTGACTTTGAAGAAGTTGCTGGTTTTGATAAAATGACACTGGGCTGCTTGGAAAAGACAAACTTTGCCCAGACTGCACCTTTTTGGTGCCATCACTGCCATGGCTTCCAAGAATTTGCCAGGATCCATTACTTGTCGTGTCCAGCCTTCAGTGCACTCCTGACTGCTTTAACTCACCATGCTACCAGAGAATGGCCCCTACCAGCACAGTAAGACATTAGATACAGTATCCTTCCTTAGCATGTAGGGACACAGTACAGAGCCTATGACAGTCCTGTGGCAACCACAGGGTGGTATTGTGAGGTCTGGGCCTTTTGAGGACGGGCTGCAGCCTCAGGAGGCGATACATGATCTCTGCTGGGCAGGGCCCAGGCAAAGCCAGTCCACTGTGTGAGACCATGCCAAAGAGCTTTCTTGAGATGCCCCTCACCTGTGGAAACCCAGGGCAGATATCCTTAAGAGGCTTCAAGGAAGATACCTCAGGAGGCTTCTGAAACTGGTGACATGGAAAGAAGTACAGTTTCCCATGGGTGGGAAGGGAGGAAAGGGCAGTCAAATTTGCTGTTGTTAACCATGATCCATTTCCCAAATAAGTATACATTCTGTTCCTGTTTTTTTTTTTTTTTTTTTTTTGTCTGTCTGTCTGTCTGTTTTGTCTGTTTGTCTGTTGTGTTGACTTTTCTCTTCAGGATCCCTGCTGTCTTGGTGATCCCAGGCTGACAGCCAGAGAGCACAGCGGCTCAGCTCCTGGAGAGAGGGTTGAAGAAAGCAGAGGGCAGCCACCTCCGCCCACTGGCTCCCATTAGGTCGGTTCCTGCAGCGGTACCTGGCAGCCTTGGTGAAGGCCCTGCCCGGCAGAGATCATGTATTGCCTCCAGTGGCTGCTGCCCGTCCTCCTCATCCCCAAGCCCCTCAACCCTGCCCTGTGGTTCAGCCACTCCATGTTCATGGGCTTCTACCTGCTCAGCTTTCTTCTGGAACGGAAGCCTTGCACAATCTGTGCTTTGGTTTTCCTGGCAGCCCTGTTTCTCATCTGTTATAGCTGCTGGGGCAACTGTTTCCTGTACCACTGCACTGATTCCCCACTTCCGGATTCAGCACACGACCCTGGTGTTGTAGGCACCTAACAGCCGTCATGTTAGCTTTCCAAGGAAGCAGAAGACGGGAGGGGAGGCATTGACATAGGTCATAAAGCATTGGAGTTTCAAATCCCGCAGCCCTGCGGTAGTATCACATTCCTGATGGCGCCTTTTTGGCCTGTGATGTTTTATCCTTATAATGTGAATAACGGCACTGACCGGTGCTTTTATCGTAGAGTCCTGTAGTTGTGGGTGGTCTTGTGGTTGTGTGTGTTCTGTCCCCACCTGGGTCCTGGCTGACAGGATGGCCACCCCTTGCCTCATTACCGCGAGGAATCCATACCCATCCTGGTCAACCATCCTGACTTGGCCTGGGCAGATAAAATGCCAGTCTCATTGTCACCTCTGTGATCCCTTCTTGTCGAAATCTCCCTCCTTCCCAGAATGTTACTGACTTCTCTGTCCCTTTCCTGGTTTCCCTTTAGTTCTCTTCTATTCCTTTCCTTTTTTGGGGAGCTCCTGTCCATGGCAGAGCTCATTTTTGCACTTATCTCGAATTTGAAGAGATTGCTGACGCCCGAGAGCCTCGCTTTTTCATCCTTCTTTCCCTGTTCAGCAGGCTAGATAGATAGATATATGTGTTGATTGTTCGTTGTCCATAAACCTCCAGTATTTTCTCCATTTCATTTTTAAAAGAAGCAACAGATAAGTGTTGCTCTTTTACCTGGGTGTCTGGGCTTGTGCTTTCAGCCCAGCCTCGCTTCCTGTACTGTTCCTCCTGCCTTTCTCAGCCTTCCCGAGAGGGGGGCCTCCTTGTATTTCCTGTGCATGCTTTGCAAGATGGAGATATGATATATTCATGTAGACCTAGCAGTCCCCAGCTGAATGAATGGAAAAGTATTTGAGTGAGTCATAGTAGCCACAATCCCCTTGATAGGTGTTTGGATATTTTTTGATGTGCCCTGTGTGCGTGCGAGTGTGTGTGTGTGTGTGTGTGTGTGTGTGTGTGTGTGTGTGTGTAAATACATGTGTATATTCATTTTAAAGAAGCTTTACAGAATGTGTTCTGATTTTGAGGTTTAGCAGTAGCTAGCTATAGTAGGTGCCACTGCAGTTTTTATTTAGCATGGGGATTGCAGAGTGACCAGCACAGTGGACTCCACGGTGGTTCATAAAAGACACAGGGGAGCAATGACCATCGTCCTCCCGCCAGGAGCTTCTTTGTTCCTGTGCAGGTAGACTGTACCTTGCGAAGAATACACAGGAAGACTTTGTGACTGTCACTTGCTTTTTTTTCCTCTGCGCTTCAGTAACAAGTATTGGCAAACAAGACTTTCTTCTGGCCCCTACCCACTGGGGATCAGCATGATTGTCCTTCCAGTCGGAACCATCGCTCTCTTGCCTGAGGATGGAGGGAGGTGGGCCAGGCAGAGGACAGAATTGGAGGCAGTCCATCTAGGGAATGAAACTGCAAGGCCACACTTGTGAAATATTTGGACTGCTGTTCTAGAGCTTTTATTTCTGGTGTGTTCATTGCACAGCTGTTTGAAATGTTTAATAAAGCTTTATAAACTTTACTTTGTGGTTTTATGTGACTGTAGTCCATTTGGGTTGTGGTGTTAGATTTCTGAGTTGGTGGGGAGCAGGGAGAAGCCTGAAGGGGCTGAGTCCTTGGCACCAGAATATCTTACCCCGAAAATTTGATCTGCTCTCTAAAGAGCAGATGGTAGGATGGGGGAGGGAGAAGATAGGGCAGGCCAGGCAGTAAACAGAAGGGAGTCTGAAAAGTTTTCAGATGAGACATTGGTGTGTCTTAGCTCCCATGGCTTCCTGCCTGAAATTGTTCTCCTCCATAGGAGATTTGAGTAACTGATCCCTTGACAAACAACGTAAGACAGCTGGAGCTCTAATCATCAAGGATTTTTATGTGCTGCTTTTGAAATAAAAATACAGTGAAACCCCTCATGGTATGTCAAGTGGAAAAATAAATAAGACTGACTGTCCAATCAGCACACTTAAGTGATGGCTAGAAGCAAAAGAGTGGTATGGATCCCTGTGGCAAATGTGCATATGCTCGGGTTGCAGTGACCTGTGAGACAAGGTGAGGAGGGAGCCTGTCAGAACCCTTGCTGGGCATTCACCTCTGAATCTCTTCTTTCTTCCAGAAAGCATAATAGGAGCACTGTCTACTCAAGGCACAGGGCTGTTGTGAGGAGTTTCTGAGGTAAAAGTTGTGAAGGGTTTTGGTAATTTTAAGGATCACTTGTTTTACCTAGACTTGATTCATTGCTATAAAGTTGTGTGCAGTTTTTCCCTGGTTTTTAAAATCTGTCCTTTAGTTACTTTATCCCTTTTTACATTCCTCACATGGCTTATCCATGCTTTTTGCTCTTGATCAGAACTTACCAAAGATTTGCCTGTTTTAGAGTTTCCTTTTTCTTTTTTTTTTTTTAGGAGTTTTTCAAAGAACCAAACTTTTATTTATCCTGTCCACTGGGTATTTTTTCTACTTGATTCTTTGGTGCTTTTATCTCTAAATCCCCATCCCTGTCTACCTCTCCCGACCCCTGGGTTTCTGGATCTATCTGTGGTTCTGCAGAGTCTTGACAAGCTGAGAAGGTGCACATGTGGAAAGGGTAGTGGGTTCAACAAACACTGAAGCCCTGTACTAGACTTGCTGGGGATATCAGGGGCACAACCCAGGCCTGACTCCCAAGACCTCATGATTCTGGCCTAGTGAGAAGACTTGACGAAACAGACAATTGCAAATTCCAAAAACAAAACAAATAAACAAAGACTTGTGTCCTTACTCTCCTGTGGAGGCACCTGGTTGATAAATGAAGCAAAGATTGTTGCTTATTTTGTTCCCCCTCAAAAAGCAGCTTTGTTTTAGGTTAAACTTGCTTAGGAGTCACAAACAGGCCTCCCTATGAAATATTTGTGATCTTTTCCAGCAGGAAGGCTGCAGCTCACCCTCCCCTGCCACATCAGCATTGTATCTGCCAGATACCATTTCCCACCTGGCTCAGCACTCCAAACCTTTTTCCTGAAAAGTATTTCAGGAAAGTGAGAAGATTGATATTTCTTCTATAAAATTAGAAGCAACATGCCTTAGATAAGCCATGGTCTGCAATTCTGTTTTCACGGTGACTCCTGATATAAAAATTATATATATATATACACACATACATGGTGTTAGAAACCACAAGACCCCATGAGACCTGGGCCTTTTGGAACCGTTCTTTGACCTACTCTCTAGGCCTCAGTTTCCTTAAAGGTAAAATGTAATCTTTGGAGTAAAGACAGGTTTTCTACTCTGGGTTCCTAATGAATTTTTTCTTCCAACATCATAGGTCTTTCTGAATTTGCTTAAGGAAGGTGGCTAACCTCTGATAGGTGGCAGCATACTTTGAGTATAGCTTGGGTGTGTGCTGTATGCTTAATCATTGTACCATGTGAACCTAGATATCTCTGTCGGAACTTTCTGTGTTTCTTCACCTTATAGATTGCCTAGAGCACTTCACAGTCTACAGATGCTGCTGGTAGACTTGTTCTTAGTGACTGAATTCTTGGAAGGCATGGCCATGAGGGTTTTTCCTGCCTGGAAAGGAGGCCTGCATTATTACTTGTCCGGCTGGTATTTGTCAGGCTCTCAGGCAATACTAGATTTTAGACTACATAGTAGACAGCCTCTGTCATCAGGGAGTCTTCCTGGCTAATGGGAAAGATGGCATTGAACAGACAATTCCAAGATACACAACTGTGGACTACAGCAAGTGCTAGAACAGCGTCTCAGAAGGATCTGATGCTGGCCTGGAGGATTGGCATTCAGGCTGAGAACTAAAGGTCAAGTGTAAATGTTTGAGCAGTGAAGTAATATTTCTCATCTCGAGCATTTCTAGGCTTACCAATAAAGTGATTGGGTTGAAAGTAAAATGGATCACCAATAAACTGGCTGCCCTAAAATTGATACTCAAAAAGGCTTTTTGGGCAAAAGAAGTCAGTCTGTTTAAAGTGAAAGTGCTAACCCTTGGGAGATAGTAAAGTCTGATCTGAGGCTGAGATGCTGATGGCAGCCCACAAACAATCCTGAGAACTTTTCAGTTTCCAACTAACTGAGAACTGTCTCAAAGTTGATAGAAGTTGGAGAGTAACTCGATCTAAATCTCATTTAAGATGAAATTTGTTCCATAGGGAATAGCCCAGCATTTGAGCAGTGACAGTAGCAGGGCTACTAAGAAAGCCACTAAACTACCTAGCTCACTGGGAATGAGAAGTAGATGGTATGAGCGACCTATAAGTGCGGAAGGGGAAGGCAGGAGAAGAGGGGTCTAGGGTGGGAGGAGGCAGTGAGAAATGATAGAAGAGGAGCTATCTCTTTAATAGATGCAGAGAAAGGCCAGAGAAGAAGGTCATGTGTGCCCAGGTGATTGGCAGAACAGAACCCATACTACTGGCACTGCAGTGCGCACATTCCACCCCATCAAAATAAATGGAAGAATCCCTGCTCTGAAAAGAGCAAGCTAATAAGTGCTCTCCTCAGTTACATGAGGAATAATCCTGACTGGGAGGCTTGCCTAGCAGCCTCCGCCTAGCAAGCCTTCTTCTGGTATCTTCATGGGAAGACAGAGTTTGTTCTGTTTAGTATGTTGAGAAAAACTTCTATTATAGACTAGGCTCAAGCAAGGGGAAAGGTTGGCCAAGCAGCCCCTGAAGATTTTAGACAAAAGCCTTTATCTCGCTTTGGGATATTGGGAAAGGGACTTAAAAGACTGAATGAGGGATGGGCTTGGGAAACCAAACAGCCCTGTTGGGAAACTTTAGGAACACTGGGCCTTAGCCCTGCCTTGTAACTGTATCTCCTTGAGCCTCCATTTTCTCACTTGTAAAATGAAGACCATAAGATCCATCTTACCATATGCCTCAAACAAAGTCTTCACACTGTTATTCCCCTTGTTCTGTGCCCCACTGTCACCAACCCATTTTGGGCTTGGGCCTCAGGGATGGGATCTGAGCCTCCAAGTCTCCTGCTCATTCATTTCTTAAGGAGCATTGGCCAGGCTTCTCACCAAACTGAGAAAGGGATACAAAATAAACTATATCCATTGAGAAACTCAAGAAGTAAGATGGAAATCTTCAAAGCAGACTCATAGGTGAATGTCTCAGTTATATTGTTAAAGCTTTAGTAGAGTAAGCTGAAAAGATATTTGGGAGAATGTATGTCAGTAACCTTAGTGTAAAGTCTCTTAATTATTTGTTACCTTCTCTAGAAGCAGTTTCCTAAAAATGAAAGAAACACCAAAACAGCTTTTCCTGGGAGACCAAAGTCCTGGTTCAAGTTCCTTTTTGGCCAACAGCTTATTCAGTAACCACTACAAAGTTCCTCCACTTAAAGAATGATCCTTGCCTGTCCAGCATCCTCTAGCCAGTATGAGAATGTGTTTGTGTGCTTTATCACACATGGACTGAACGTTACCCTTGCCCAAAGCCTAATCCTTTGGAAGATACGCTTTTCACCTCTTTTCCTGGGCAGCTTTAGGAAAGTTTGCACTTTAGATAGCTCACCACCTCTGCCAAAGCTAAGCCCTACCAGTCCTCGTCCTACACTGGCTATGGCAGCCCTCCAAGGAAAGGATACGGAGCTAGAGCTAACACCCTGGACTTGAGTCTTACCACTTGCCAAGTGGTCTTATTGTCCTCTATTCTTTTATCTCCTCTGGGTCTGTGTTTCTCTATTCGCAAATCAATTAGGAGGCTGGACCAGGGGAGTCTGTAACATTTCACATCTTCTGTGAAACATTGGTGACCTTTATCTTTGTTACTTCAGTCTGAGAGATCTGATTGAAAGAAAGTATATTTTTTAAAGAAAGTATATTAAGATAAGTATTTAAAGAAAGGATTCTGCAATAAAGAATAAACTTTAAATCTGTCAAGTACAGAACTGTAGAGAAAGTTAGGTTGCAGTGAAGGCAAACTTGGAAGGGTCTATGAGGGAGACAAACAAAGCTTTTCAGTAGTTTCCTGTTGCTTGTAGTCTAAACTCTTTAGTTTGGCTACTAAGACCCTGCACAACGCTTGAGGGTTGGTATTTAGTCTTTGCCCCTTGGCTAGGCATGTAACTTATCTCAGCAGGTCTAGTATAGTATGTATGGATTGACCAACTCTAGGGATCAATAGATGAGAGGCTCAGTCATTTGCTAGACTTAATTATGTAACCTGATTGTTCCTAGAAGGAAGGAGATTCCCAAGTCTCCCCTTAGCAACTCTGGAAGGACAGATTTATTTTCCAGCCTCCAGACTAATATTCTGTTGGGGAGGGGGATGAAAGAACCGCATTAAAAGTTCCCAGCCAGTATTATCTCTGGCAGCAGAAGTCCACACCTGGTTTGACAGTAGCTTTACCAGGTGGTAGATACTGCATAAGGCTCGATGTAGATAGATTCTTGAGTTGCTTGTAAACAAAAGGAATTTCCTCTTCCTCTTCTAATCTCTCTGTATACCTGATATCCTCCTTAACACATATGGCTTTCCTGTCTTCATGCATCATACCTCCCTGTACCAGGGCATGCAGGTGAGC